TTGATGTGTCAGGAAACAGACGGGTACCTTCAGCCAAATGTAACTCACTCAGATCCGTTGCCTGACGTATTTAGTGTCACAAATGAGTGAAGAGGGTAATGTATCATGAAAGAAAAATATCACCTCTGAAATCAATGGACACAGTGAAATCAGATTACGGAAAGGCTTCCTTCAGGGAGGAAGTTGGGGATAAAGAAATGGGCAGGTGTCAGCTTGACTTTTTTTTGTTTTAACTTATACTATTTATCACAATAATTTATTAATGGAATGCTTATGTTTACTTTATTTTTATTGTTTAAGAAGCCCATATATGTGTATAATAGGTTTTGATCTAATCAACCTCCTTTTTCCTTCCTGCTACTTTCTGTACTATCCACACAACTGATATTTTCTTTTTAATTTTCTATGTTCACTTTTTAAACTTACTGAGTTCACCTGCATGCGTACTGGTGTAAGGATAAAGTACTTAGCTTTAGATGATGATGCCCAGTTATACCCATTTTTTTAAAATAATATAATTGTAATAATTTTAATTATTATTTTATCATACAAAGAAATGGCTTGGCCAGGTGGTGGTGGCGCATGCCTTTAATCCTAGCACTCGGGAGGCAGACACATGCAGATCTCTGTGAGTTCTAGGCCAGGCTGGTCCGACAGCCTCCAAAACAATACAGAGAAACCCTGTCTCATAAAACCAAAATAAAAAAAGAAAGAAAGAAAGAAAGAAAGAAATGGGTTGATTTGTGCAATATCACTACATACATTTCACTGTATTTTTCTCATATACATCTCTGACACTATCTTCCTTCATTCTTCCAATTACCAATCTTTCCATAAACATACTTGCTTATTTATAATTAAATGACTTGTGTTAGTGTGTGTGTGTCCTTTAGATGTATTTGTTCAGCCAAACATTCTAGAATATATAGCCTTCCAACAGAGCATGATAAATTACCAAAACCAATACTCTTATAAACAAACTGACCCTTCCTATGCCAGAAGTTAAGTATTGCCAATACCCTACAAGTAGGGATGGAATTCTATACCTATTGCCACTCACCTTGGTCAGTTTTTACTCAGTAATCTGGATTTTTCTGAAATCTGCAATGATCACCTCTATCAACTTTAATTTTATTAATTTTTGTCTTATTGCTTATTGTTGTTTGTCCTTTGCTTGAATGCTTGCATGTTGTTTATATTTTTTTAAGATGAGGTCTCACATTCCCAGGCTGACCACACATCAGTAAGAAACCAATGGTAACTTTGGACTCCTTCTTCTATATACAAATACAAAAGTTATATCTTAATTCTCAGATTATTGTTTATTGCTACTTCTGTCTCTGAAATGCTTGGTCAATTTATTTACACAATGATGCTACCGGAGCAGCAGGGTCTGATGCAGTTCACTCACTGCCAGCATGGGCTGAGCTTCCCTCTCTCTGCTCACCCTGCTACACTCACTTCTACTTTCCAACCACACTGGGGAGCAGTGAATGCAAGTATGGGGTGGATTCTACATTTATTGCTCATGTGAGGGCTTAGTACTCTTCAGAAACAGAAGGACAATTGGATCGCCACAAAGCTGATTGAAATTAAGAACTTACTTCACACCCAACTGAAGAATCTTTGAGGATTTTAAACAGAATGAGACATGATCTATTCTACTATGTAAGGACCACACTGACTACTGTAAGGATAACTGATAATATCCTGTAAATGAAATAAAAATTTATACCAAGACTCCTAGAGATAAACACATATCTCCTGGACAGAAAATAGTAATTTTATAAATTATTTTACTTAGTATTTATGTTACAAAGAGAGCATACTTGTAGTAATGGCAATTAGAAGTGACAATTTTTTTCAATCATCACATCACTTCTAATTGCCATTACTACAAGTATGCTCTCTTTGCAACATAAATACTAAGTAAAATAATTCAACCTATATGTCCTTCAACTGAAGAATGGATAGAAAATGTGGTACATTTACACAATGGAGTACTACTCAGAAAAAAAAAGAATGGAATCTTGAAATTCAAAGGAAAATTGATAGAACTACAAGAAACCATCCTGAGAGAAATAACCCAGTCACAAAAAGACAAACATGCTATGTACTCATTCATATAGGGTTTTTAGACAAAGAGCAAAGGAGCACCCGCCTACGGTTCTCACTGCCAGAGGAGCTAGGAAACAAGGAGGACCCCAAGAGAGGAATGCATGGTCCCCTGAAGAAGAGGAGGGGGACAAGAACCGCTGAGCAAATTGGGAGCACATGGGGTGGGAAGGGAGTGGAATGAAATGTAAATGGGATAGGGTGAGAAGGGGGGAGGAGAACAGGAGGACTCAGATAGGGGAGGAATAAAAGAGGACAAGTAAGGAGATGCCTTGATAAAGAACGCCAGTAAAGGTTTAGAGAGTGGTCTGGCACAGAAGAAATGGTATGAGATCCAGAAGGATAACGCCAACTAATAATCTAGGCAATGGTGTACAGGCTTTCTTTCATGCCCTTCCTCTATAATGAAATTGATGATTACCTTGGTTACCATTCCTAGAGCCTTGACCCCGTAGCTGATGGAAGCAGAAACAGGCACCAACAGTTAAACACTGAGCCATCCTCCCGGAATCCAGTTGCAGAGAGAGGGGAGAGATGAGCAAATGAACCAAGACAGAACTAGGGATACCTGCAGAAACAGTTGACCTGACCAAATGAGAGCATGCAGATGCTACTCATAAAGCAGGGGAACCAGCATTGGATCAAACCCAGCCCTCAGAATATGAATGCCAGCTAGGAGGCGAAGGCAATCTATGGAAGCTCTAACAGTGGAATTAGTGTTCATTCCTAAGTCACAAATGGATTTTGGAGCCCATTCCCCATGAAGGAATACAATTGCAGGCCATATACGGAAAGGATGGTCTTTCATGATCCCCCATGGAGGGCCTCACTATCCCTGGGAAGTGAGTTGGGGGTGGGTTGTGGGGTCAATGGGAAGTATGGGAGGATGTGAGGGTGAGGGAATGGGGGAATAGATATGTAAATAAGAGTGTTTCTAAAATAAAAAGAAGAAAATGGAAATATCTCACATGCTCTTGGATAAGTAGACTCAACAGAGTAAAAAATGGCAATCTCACCAAAAGCAAGCTACAGAATCAATGCAATACCTATCAAAATCCAGTACATTTCTTCACAGACCTCAAAAGAATAATACTGAACTTCATATGGAAAAACAAAAAACCCAGGATATCCAAAACATTCCTGTGAAAGAGAGGCCTTGTGGAGGCATCACTATCCCTCACTTCAAGCTCTATCATACAATTACAGTAATGAAAACAGCATAGTTATATTACCAAAACAGCAAGTTGGACCAATGGAATCAAATATAAGGGTCTAATATTAGTCCCCACACCAAAAAAAAAAACCCTGATTCTTGACAAAGAAGCTAAAATTATACAATGAAAAAAGAAAGCATCTTTAGAAAATTGTGCTGGCATAACTGGAGGTCAACATGTACAAGACTGCAAAGAGATCTATATCTATCTCCATGCATAAAACTCAAGGTTAAAATTGATCAAAGACCTCAACATAAATCCAACCACACTGGACCTCATAGAAGTGATAGTGGGAATTAGCCTTGAACACATTGACAAAGGAGACCACTTCCTAAATAAAACATCAGTAGAACAGACACTGAGAGCAGCAATTAATAAATGGGGCTGCCTGAAACTGAGAACTTCCTGTAAGACAAAGGATGTGGTCAACAAAACAAAACAGCAACCTACACAATGAGAAAAGATCCTCACCAACCCCCCCATCTGACAGAGGACTCATCTACAATGCATACAAAGAACTCAAGAAGTTACTTACCAAAACCCCAAATAATCCAATTTAAAAATGGGGAGTACAGACCTAAACAGAGAATTCTCAATGGGAGAATTTGAACGGACAAAAGGAATTGTTCAACACCCTTAGTCATCAGGGAAATGCAAATCAAAAGAACTCTCAGAAACAATCTGACACCTAACAGAATGACTAAAATCAAAAACACTGATGACAGCTTATCCTGGAAAAGATGTAAAGAGAACACTCCTCCACTGCTAGGGGGAGTACAAACTTGTACAGCCACTTTGGATATAAGTATGGCAGTTTCTCAGAAAATAGGAAATCACTCTAACTCATGACCCAGGGTTACCATGCTTGGGCATATACCCAAAGGATGCATAATAATACCACAAGGACATTTGGTCAACTGTGTTTAAGCAGCATAGTTTGTAACAGCCAGAACCTAGAAGCAACCTAGATGTCTATCAACTGAGGAATGGATAAGGTAAATATGGCATATTTAAACAATGGAGTACTAGTCAACAGTAAAAACCAATGGCATCTTGAATGTACAGGCAAAAGAATGTAACTAGAAATGGAAAAAAACCATCATGAGTGAGGTATCCCAGAATGAGAAAGACCAATATGGTGTGCACGTACTCATGAGTGATATTAGGGATAACACAAAGGATAACCATCCTACAGTTCACAACCACAGAAAAGCCAGGTCACAAAAAGGACTATGTGACAGACCCATGGATCTGCATCGAAAGAAGGAATAAATAAGATCTAAGAAAATCAGGAGCACGAGAGGGGGGGTGGAAGGGGAGAAGTGAGGAAGAAAGGGGAGTGGGGAGGTGAACATAGGGAATGGGATGGTTGAATTGGGGGAAAGAAAGAGAAGGAGAGCAAGGAAAGAATAATGTTGATAGAGGCAGCCATCATGGGATAATCAAAAATTGACAACAGGGAAATTCCTAGGAATACACAAGAATAACCCAAGGAGAAGGTGTCTGAGCTGGCATAAAACAACATATCTAACTACAGTTTTTTTTATTATCCATGCTACATTTTCCCAGTGTCCCTGGTGTATTTATCTGGATGTTCTTATATTGTAACCACAGCACTAATTTTCTAGCATCCCCCATATTACTAAGAAATATAGACAACACTCAGAAATTGCATGCTGAAAATTTTATTGGGGTCAGGTAGACAGTACAATGCTTCTTTGGTCTCTTGTTCTGGAGTACATGATCTTCTCAGGCACTTTCTGAAACAGAAAAGGAAGGAGGAAAGTTAGTGGAAAATTGGGACATGATGGAGTTTTAACTGCTACTACACCACTGAAGTGAGAGAACATAGAGACAAAATCCTTGTCTCCTCAATGCCTTCCTCTCTTTCCTTCCTAATTTTCTCATGTTTGCTTTTTCAACCACTGAGCAGACAATAAAACTAGTTTGATTCTTATAAGAAGAAACTGAATGATGGGCCTTAACTTGCTCATCCTTGGACTCTGATTTAAAACGTTTCAGGATATATTTCCAAATGTGATCACTGAAATGCACACTGACCTGAAACCAGACTAATATCAATTAACAGAATGAAAAATAAGGAGATCAAGGCAAGTCGTGCAATGCAGTATTGTACAATATTTATACCCAAAATATTCTAAGTATACAAAAGGCAAGATACAACCAAGAAGACAGGCTGCAGGGAGATCCAATGAACATATTTGTATGAAGCAATGCAGTTGTATGGCTGATGTAAGCAGAGGCCAACTCCCACAGCTAAACACAGAGCTGAACTCAAGGAATCCAGTGACAGAGAAGGAGGACTGATGAGCAAAGGGGTTAAGACTGGGCCGGTTTAACCCCCAGAAACAGCTGACGTGTCAAGGGTTAGCACTTGAATCCCAGACTGATGACTGTGAATCCAGCATGGGACTGATGAAGACCCCCTGAATGCAGGTGTCAGTGAGGAGGCCTAGGAAATCTAATGATCCTTGGACAGTAGATCAGTATTCATCCCGGGCATACAAATGGTCTTTGGGCATCCATCCAACAATGGGAAATGCACTCTCACCCTGGACTCTTGGGGGAGGGTCTAGGCCCTGCCCTGGATGAAATGACAGACTATAGACACCCCCATGGAGGGCCTCACCCTCCCTGGGGAAATGAAGGGATATTGGAGGGGTTGGTGGGAGGGCGTGGGATGAGGTGGCAGAAGGGAGAAGGACCTGGAATACACATATGAAGCAACCTTGTTTGTAATTTAAATTTAATTTTAAAATAAAAATAAATAAAGAAAAAAAGTAGTAGATTTCAAAGATAAGAATGCGAAATTAAGATAATATATAATCATAGTATTCAACCATGTAAAGTAGGTTTGCAGGAACTTGGGCATACACAATTTTAGAAGAAGGTATTACAAATACAGACAAGGTCAGAGTTGTCTCTAAGGTATCACTTAGAGACAATGGATCTGAGCATCCCTGGTGTGAGTGAGGCAGAGTATCCAAGCTGCAGAGATGAGAAACTTTAGTGACAACACAGAAAACAGAACCAAACGGAGGTTGCTGCTGTACTTCTACAAACCAACCCACCTCAACAGGTAATCACTGAGACAACCAGAACTTTGGAGTTCTCTTACTCAAAGGCAGAACTAAATGGAGTGTTTCTCCAAGGAGGTCCTATATCAACACACACATACCATCCTATACAATCTGAATGCAAAATTAGAAATGGGACCATGGGTCCCCAGGGCCCTTCCCGCACCTGCCTCAGCTGCACAAGCTGGTCAGTTGGAAAAGGCTCCTGAGGCAAGCTGCTACAAAAACCCCCCATAGGACCCAGTAATCTACAAATCTCATGCTATTCCAAAACCACCCACCCATACCCAGAGACCTCAGCGACTCCTTGAGAAACAGACAGTGGTTGCACAGAGTAGATCCAGAGGGGCTTCCTGAAATACAAACAGCAATGGCAATGATTGGATTGTGGTGATATATTATTGGCACTTTGCTTTCTGAAGGATCAGACAAGCTTTAATAAATAATAAATAATATCATTACATTGGACCAAGATGTAAAGACACAACCTGTACCAATTGTAGGAAGAGGTGGGAAGGCACCAATGTGAGGATACATTCAACAACCTAAAGAGCAATATGGCAACATGAGAATGTAGTGGTCCTAAAACAGAAAGACCTGATCTCCCTAATCTAGAAAAATCAGAAAAAAATAGCTTAAATATAATTTTATGAAGTTAACAGAGACCCTTAAAGAGGAAATGAATAATTCCTTTAAAGAAGTAGAAGAATAGTCAAACAAAAAATTGGAAGGAACAAATAAATACCTCTTTAAAAATCCAAGAAAACCAAGAGGGGGCCATGGACCACATCCCTCCAGTTAACTGATTTCCACGCTATGATTTGAGAAATACAGAAGGGAAGGGCTTTGTGTTTAGTATTTTGATGAATACTTGTCATTAGCATATGCATTTTAAGGACTGTTAGTCTCGAAAGTCCCATATCTAAACAAGGACTTGAAACTGTCACCACAAGTCGTGGTAAAATGGTAAAGTTATCATTTCCCATATTGCATTGATGGGTGGTCCATGTATTTGATGGCCAAGAGCAGAAGGATTCCATTTGTTGATCCTAAAAAGCAAAAGATAATGTCTATACATTTGATGAGAAGATGAGAGTTAGGCTGGGGGACCTCCTTGCTGGACTGGTCCTTGCGGGGATTTCAGCTGCAGGGGAAAATTGGTCTTGAACCTACTCTGATGGTAGTTCCCCCTGTGGATTGTTCTCTTCATTCCCATCAGCAGCCGAGGACACTTGTCCCACTTCTGGCTGTGATTCCTGCTGTGGATCATTCTAGCAGGAGAGGCCTCTGAGACTTGGTTCTGGCTTTGGTCCTTAGATACTGTATGGGGAAGGCCAGAAGATAAGAGCACCTTGGTGAAAGAAATACCTTTTTTTATCATTTTTTATTTTAAATTTAAATAGCTTGTTTTACATGTCAATCCCAGTTCCCTCTCCCTCCCCTCCTCCCGCACTCCCCTTCCCCCCCTCCCTCCCACCCTATTGCCAAATCCTTCCACATAGGGGATATCTAGAGTCTGTCATTTTACTCTTGGTAGGGTCAAGGCACTCCCCTAAGAGTCCAGGCTGAGAGAGCATCTCTCTTTGTGCTATAGGCACATGAAGACAGTTTGTATACCAGGGATAGACACTGATCCACAGCTCAGGGCCCCATAGGTTGCCCAGGCCTTCTCACTGACACTCACATTTGGGGGGTCCAGATCAGTCCCATGCTGGCCTCCCCACTGTCGGTCTGGGGTCCAAGAGCACTCCCCTGTTCAGATCAGCTGTCTCTGCTGGTTTTGCCAGCCCATTCTTTGCCAATTTGCTCATCACTCCTCTCTCTCTGTCACTGGGTTCCTTGGGTTCAGTTCAGTGTTTAGTTGTGTGTTTGCCTCTGCTTCCATCAGTCACAGGATGAAGGCTCCCGGATAGTTATAGACATCAAGTTCATTATCAGGAATGGGCATTCGAGGTGGTCCCTCCACTATTGCTTAGCTTGCCAATTGATGTTATACCTTTAGATCACTCGAGGTCACTCTGGTGCCTGATCTGTCTTCGATCCTATGATTCCCTCTTCCCCCTATTCTACCCCCACCCCTTCAACTTCCTGTTCCCCCATGACCAACTCCCTTCCTCTTTACCCCCTCTATTCTTCCCAGGTCCCACTCCCCCCAACCCCTCGCCGTGTTCCCCATCAGAGGATCTTGTCTCCATCCTCTTCTCTTGGGTACTATGCATATATGCATATCTTTTAGGTTCTTTCCTGTTTCCCAGACTCTCTATCTGTGGAAGTGCAGACTGGCACTATCCTGATCCATATCTAGAATCCATATATGAGTGAGTACATACCATGTTTGTCTTTTTGCGACTGGGTTACCTCACTCAGGATGGTTTCTTCCAGTGCTATCCATTTCCCTGCGAATTTCAAGATTCCATTGTTTTTTTTCTGCTGAGTAATACTCCATTGTGTAAATGTACCACATTTTCTCTATCCACTCTTCAGTTGAGGGGCATCTAGGTTGCTTCCAGGTTCTGGCTATTACAAACAATGCTGCTATGAACATAGTGGAGCAGATGCCCTTGTTGTATGAACCTGCCTCATTTGGATAAATGCCTAAGAGTGGAATTGCTGGGTCTAGTGGTAGATTAATTCCCATTTTCCTGAGGAATCTCCATACTGATTTCCAAAGAGGCTGTATGAGTCGGCATTCCCACCAGCAGTGGAGGAGTGTTCCTCTCTCTCCACATCCTCTCCAGCATAAATTGCCTTCCGTGTTTTTGATTCTAGCCATTCTGACAGGAGTAAGATGGTATCTCAGAGTTGTTTTGATTTGAATTTCCCTGATGGCTAAGGATGTTGAGCACTTTCTTAAGTGTCTCTTGGCCATTTTAGCCTCCTCTACTGAGAATTCTCTATTTAGCTCTGTACCCCACCTTTCAAGTGGATCCTTTGGTGTTTTGGAGACTTGTTTCTTGAGTTCTTTGTAAATTTTGGAGATTAGCCCTCTGTCAGATGTAGGGTTAGTGAATATCTTTTCCCATTCTGTGGCCTGCCTTTTGTCTTTTTGACTGTGTCCTTTGCCTTACAGAAGCTTTTTAGTTTCAGAAGGTCCCATTTGTTAATTGTCTATCTCAGTGCCTGTGCCACTGGTGTTATGTTTAGGAAGTGGTCTCCTGTACCAACTCGTTGAAGAGTATCTCCCACTTTCTCTTCTAAAAGTTTCAGTGTGGCTGGATGTATGTTGAGATCTTTGATCCATTTGGACTTAAGTTTTGTACAAGGCGATAAACATGGATCTATCTGCAGTCTTCTGCATACCAGTACCCAGTTATGCCAGCACCATTTGTTGAAGATGCTTTCTTTTTTCCACTGTACAGTTTTAGCTTCTTTGTCAAAAATCAGGTGTTCATAGGTGTGTGGGTTAAAATTAGGGCTTTCGATTCGGTTCCATTGGTCTACCTGCCTATTTTTGTGCCAATACCAAGCTGTTTTCAGGACTATAGCTCTATAATAAAGCTTGAAGTCAGGTATGGTGATGCCTCCTGAAGTTCCTTTATTGTATAGGGATGTTTTGGCTATCCTGGGCCTTTTGTTTTTCCATATGAAGTTGATTAATGTTCTTTCCAGGTCCTTGAAGAATTGTGATGGAATTTTGATAGGGATTGCATTGAATCTATAGACTGCTTTTGGCAAGATTGCCATTTTTATTATGTTGATCCTACCAATCCAAGAGCATGGGAGATCTTTCCATTTTCTGGTATCTTCTTTGATTTCTTTCTTCAAAGACACAAAGTTCTTGATATACAGGTCTTTCACTTCCTTGGTTAACATTATCCCCAGATATTTGATGCTGTTTTTGGCTATTGTAAAAGGTGATGTTTCTCTGATTTCTTTCTCAGTCACTTCATCATCTGTATATACTAGGGCCACTGATTTTTTTGAGTTTACCTTGTATCCTGCCACATTGCTGAAGGTGTTTATCAGCTCTAGGAGTGACCTTGCGGAGTTTTTTGGATCACTTATGTAAACTATCATATCATCTGCAAATAATGAAAGTTTGACTTCTTCTTTACCTATTTGTATCCCCTTTATCTCCTTTTGTTGTCTTATTGCTGTAGCTACAACTTCAAGTACAATATTGAAGAGATATGGAGAGAGTGGACAGCCTTGTCTTGTTCCTGATTTTAGAGGAATTGCTTTGAGTTTCTCTCCGTTTAGTTTGATGTTAGCTGTTGGTTTACTGTATATTGCTTTTATTAGGAGAGATGGCTCAGAGGTTAAGAAATACCTTTTGCTTTCTTCCTCTTACCTTATCACACAATCCTTTCTCCCAGAACCTGTCTGCCAGCTGCTAACTCCTTCTTTCATTTATCCTTGTTCTTTGGTTTTGTAAATATACATTACAATGAGACAGAGAGCTATGTGCTTGTACCCTGGCACAAGTATGGGCTACAGCTGTAAAACATACAAGTTTGGGGAAGATTATTTTTCATGAGATGTCACCCAAAGCCAAAGGGCAGTAATGCAAAAGGAGAATACATTAACAACAGGAAGATTGCCAACTGTGATTAAAGACACTATAAACTCTCTGCCTCTACAAGGGGTTCTAGCCCTGGTTTCTGATCCCTGGGATGAAATTCGACTTCTCTTTTCAATACTTTACATCTACACAATGAAACCCTGGGATAAGAGAAGAACAAACTGACCTCCACCAGATTCACCAAATGCCTGGGAACAACTTTGTCCTTTCTTTTTTAATCAAACACAGCGGCATAGTGAATAGAGAAAGCAGAAAGAAGAAACAAGAAATCCAAGGACTTTCCCATCTTTTTCATAAACTGTGTAGTTATAGTCAGAACCACCAACAAAGAAGAAAACAACAGACCCTCTCGCTAACAGAAGAGTCTGAAGTAAGGCACTTTTGGCTTCTGACTCATCTCATAGTGGTCATGTTTGGATTGGAAGCAGGCAAATTTCTTGTGCTGTTATGAAAACTTGGTCTGTCTATTACTCAGTTGGCTGAACTTGGGCATGATCCCCAGTATCAAAGTTAGGAAGTATGTTTACATCTTTAGAGAAACTAATATTGGTTCATTCCTAAGACAGAATATGTTAAGACGACACAATGAAACACAGAGTTACACAGCATGAAAGGATGACCTGTTGGGCTTTACCTGCAGGGAGAGCAGCAGGATCCTCATTGGTGACCTCTAGAAATAAAGCAGAGGATGAAGTCAATATTCAGATCACATTCTTTCAGAGCTTACAGATGTCCTAGGAGCACACGTGATCTCATCAGTCAGGCTATCAGTCAAACTTCTTATGATATATGTATATATTTTCTATACCAGACAGTTATCAGACACAATGGCAACTGAAACCTAGGTGAATGTCACACACATGGATACAAATATATGGTGGCATGGGAAAACTGGAATAGAGTAACTGATGGATATATTTATGATATTCATGGCAGTATATGGTCCCATAGTTGACACATATACATGCACATGAGTGAACACTCCCCAAATTATAACACGGTCAGGCTCATACATTTGCAACTATGAAAACACATATGTAAGTACATACATGTGTACACATACACACACACACACACACACACACACACACACATCATAGTCACCATAGAAGTATAGTTCACAGTATTAACAACCAGCAATAGACTTGAACAATAAGCAAACAGTAATTCTAAATTGAGATGATTGCTTGCAGTACTGCTTCAATATCATTGTAAAAGTCACCTTTCAGGCTTGTGAGAAAAGACACGTTGGCATTTTCTTTTCCACCTAGACCTTTTGAGTTAAATTCTCAATGAGGATCCATGGATGACAGTCTGCAGTTGTGAAGTCACCCACCTGGGCTTCAAAGGTGCCATTGTTCTACTATTTTAATAAGCCCAGTTGCCTTTTGTATTTCAGCACACACTTGGGAACAACTCCAGAACTTCTTTCAGGATTCTGGCAGTGTTGTTCACAGTGACCTTGCTGGCCTTAAGCTCAGCAGGTCCAAGCCAACTCAGGACGGAGATACACTCATCTGGGTCTTAGGAGATAAGAAGGAAGGGACTAGATCTCTGTGAGTTCGAGGCCATCCTGGTCTACAAAGCTACACAGAGAAACCCAGTCTGTAAACCCACCCCCTAAAAAAAGGAACAAAGAAAGAACAAAAAGAAAGTCCAGTGAGGACACAGAATGAGCATGCATGTAGCTAGCCTTGCTGCAGATTAGACATGGGACAGATGAAAGAAATAAATGCACATCCCTGCTGTCAGTAATGGAATCAGAAGAAAGATCTCACTTTTTGCATATACAGAGATAAATGCAACACACAACTTATGAATTTTATTCCCTCATATATTCAACACTTTAATGTGCTTCAAATTATTTTGTGAGGTACTGTGCATATGTTTATATTTTGGAGATCTTCTTGAAAACTATAATAATACAATTCAAATATTCAGTGAAAGTCACCTATAAAAGGACAATGGAATTTGACACTGAAATATGAATATTCACAACAATAAGCTTAAAAAGTAATAAAATGTTAGAGCTACCAGGAAAGAGAGGCTTCCATTAGAGCAGGTGGGTATCATCATAGTTGGAGCTCTGCCACCTCTTCTGTTCTCCTCTCTCCAGCACATGTCAGGGGTCCAAGGGACCCTAGTTACAGGTGATGTAGAGAGTGGACAGAGTTTGTATTTCATTACAGGAGATTTGTAAGCCCTGTATGACTGGAGACTTAACCCTTTTCTTCAGTGATTTTGTTTTTTTCTTTCATACATTTTTTGAAGGTGCCACTGAAATATCAGCAGGTAAAGCTAAGTTCACCCTCAATTATGTCCCTCCTTTTCCTTAGTCACTTACCAGTTCTCTACTACCAGAAGAAAACTGTGTATAACCTACTGCATTTGTCTATTCAACTGAATAGCTTCCCTCATCAAAACCTTTACATAAATACTCTGAAAATCCTGAGTGGACCATGTTGTATTTGTCTCCAGGTTTCAAATACTTTCAGTGCAGCAGTAGAGTCCTTAGCATCTAGCTCTGACAACAGTGCTTGGGAGCACTGATTCAACACATGGGCAGCTAGTTATATGTGACTGAAGAAATATAATTAACAAATACCCATGTTCAAACACTTTGAGTTTTGTCCTGTCTGACTTTGTAGATATGTACTCTGAAATGTAATAACACATCTCTATTAAAATTATCATTATTATTATTATATTTCATGAATTAATAAGAATAAAATTGTCCTGGAAACAGCTATCTAAGATGTCTTAAGTATCAGTGTATGGATTAAGAGAAGACAAACTCAACAAGGTATGGGCAGCAGGGATGCTGGCTGTTGAAAGGCAGGCTATAAGAGAAAGTGTTGTGTGAAGTAGTAAGCTTGGGAAAACAAGAGATCACCTTTTCCCACTTCAGTCATCTGTTCTTCCCCAACCCACACAAGAAATGAACAAAGCTAGAACCTTAAGCTATATTGACGTTCCATTTTGAAGCACCTTCTGAGGAAGTTGATCCTCAGCAGGACTTATCAGAAGAATATCTACAGCAATTTCTCTCCACACTTCTGGAAAATCAACAATTACATATAACAATTAGGTATTCAGTAACACTTTCTTCTCATGATTTCAGAGGCAATAAACAGCAGTTTTTGTTCCCATGGCTATTCTAACCAACAAAGAACACCCACTTTCTAGGCTCCAAGTGTCAACTAATGTCTTCCCAGGGATCATTCCATAAAAACACATCCCCAAATAAATCACTCCATAATATGCATGCCAATGATGAGTATGAATTAAATTCAGTGAGCATGGAGACCTTCACTTACCCTGTGATGACTCAGTTGGGCACTGTTCAATTTCCATGAGTTTGTGGGCTTTCTACAATTAGTGTTGTTGAATTCTAACTTTAAACCACGGTAATCTGAGAAAATACAGGGAGTTATTCCATTTTTTGATTTTTTGATGTTTGCCTTGCTAAGGAGTATGTGGTCAGTTTTAGAGAGGGTCCCATGAGATGCTGAGAAGAAATTATAATATTTTGTGTTTGGGCGGAATGTTCTATAGATGTCTGTTAGGCCCATTTGAGTCACAACATCTGCTAGTTCCTTTATTTCTCTGTTAAATTTCTGTCTGGCAGACATGACCAGTGGTGAGAGTTGGTTGTTGAAGTCTTCTCCCACTATTAGGGTGTGGGGCTCAATGGGTTATTTATGCTTTAGTAATGCTTCTTTTACAAATGTGGGTGCCCAAGTATATTGGGAATAGATGCACAGAATTGAGACTTATCTTGATGGATTTTTCCTGTGATAACTATGAACTGTCCTCCTTCATATCTGTTAGTTACTTTTAGTTTGATGTCTATTTCTTAGCTTGATTCTTAGGACCATTTGATTGGAAGACCTTTCCCCAACCATTTACTCTGAGGTAATGTCTTTCTATGATGTTGAGGTGTGTTTCTTGTATGCAGCAGAAGGATGGATTCTGTTTTTGTATCAATCTGTTAACCTGTGTCTTTTTTGCAAACTGATTCATGTGATATTAAAGGAAAATAATGACCAGTGATGGCAAATTGCTGTTATTTTGTTTTTGTTGTTGTTGGCATTGTGTGTGTGCTTCTCTTCTTCGGGATTTGCTGGTGTGGAATTCTCTATTTCCTGTGTTTTAGTGAATGTAGCTAACTGCCTTGGGTTTGAGTTTTCCTTCTAGTACTTTCTGTAGTGGTAGAATTCTGAATAGGTATTGTTTAAATATGATTTTGTTATAGAATAGCTTGTATTCTCTGTGTATGGTGATTGAAAGCTCTGCTGTACATAGTTTCTGGGCCGGCATATATGGTCTCTTAATGTCTACATAACACTTGACCAGGACATTCTGGCTTTTGTTGTTTCTGTTGAGAAGTCAGGTATAATTCTGAGATATTTGTGTTTAAATGTTACTGGGCTTTTCTCCTTTGTAGTTCTTAGTATTATGTCTTTTTTCTTTGTGTTTAGTGTTTTTGTTTTTGGGTTTTTTTTTTGGTCCAGTATATTTTGTGTTCTGTAAGATTCTTGTGCTTTCATAGGCATGTCCTTCTTTAGATGGTGAAATATTTCTTCTTTTATTTGTTGAATATATTTTCTGTTCCTTTGAGGTATATTTCATCTTCTTCTCTCTCTATTTTTCTTAGGTTCGGTATTTTCATGATGTCTCAGCTTTCCTGGTTGTTTTCTGCTAAAATTGGTTGGATAATCACTGTCATATCTTCAAATTATGAGATTCTCATTTCCGTGTCTTGTATTCTGTTGTTTATCTTTGCATCTGTACATCGTGATTGGTTAACCTTATTTTCCACTTCTAGAATTCCCTTGGGTAGTGTTTTCTTTATTGCCTCTATTTAAGTTTTTAAAACCTGAACCATTGCCTTCATTTGTTTGATTGCTTTCTCTTGGTTTTCTTTAAGGGATTTCTTTCCATTTTTTTGTATTTTCCTCCATTTCTTTCAGGGAGTTTCTCATTTCCTCTTTAAGGGTCTCAATAAATCTTCATTAACTTATTTTTAAAGTCATTTTCTTCTGCTTCATCTGCTTTGAGATGTTCAGGTCTTGCTGTTGTGAGCCTCTTGTTTCTGGAATTTATGTTGTTGAGTGCATTCTTACATTGTTGTCTATCCATCTCTTCCTCCATTCACTACAGGTGGAACTTGTTCTTCAAGAGGTCCTTCTTTCTCCAATTGGTGTAGTTGGGGACTATGGCTCCATTTATTGATATTCCAGGAGCAGGCATGCCATGTCTCCTGTGACTTCCTCTAGATGTTTCAGAAGCTCAGTAGGTTGCTGACACTTTTTATTCCTCATACCTTCTGCGGGTACCTGTGACCAAGCACAAATGGGTGTGGCCAGTGCTACAGGTACCTAATATCTCAGTGCCTGTGCCATTGGTGTTCTGTTCAGGAAGCTGTTCTTGTATCAATATGTTCATATCTATTCCATATTTTCTCTTCTGTAAAGTTTAGTGTATTCAGTTTTATGTTGAGGTCTGTGATCCACTTGATTTCAATACTTCACAAAATTGGAAAAAAAGACATGGATGATTTTCTTGATAGATATCACTTAACAAAATTGAATCCAGATCAGATAAACAATTTGAATAGACCTATACCTCCAAGTAAATAGAAGCAATCATTGAAAGTCTCCCAACCAAAAAATTACAGAGCCAGGCAGTTTTAGTGCAGAATTCTACCAGACTTGCAAAGAAGACCAAATACCAATACTCCTCAAATTATTCCATAAAACAGAAACATAAGGAATATTGCTAAATTCCTTTAATGAGGCCAGAGTCACCTTAATACCCAAACCTTACAAACACTCAACAAAAAGTAAGAATTGTAGACTAGTTGCCCTTATGACCATTCAAAAATACTCAATGAAATACTCACAATCCAAATCCAAGTACAGATCCAAAAGATTATGCACCATAATCAAGTAGGCTACAACCCAGAGATGCCAGGATGGTTCAAAAGAGAAAATCAGATCTTTTTGTACTAACTAAAGGTTTCTCCTCCTTTAGCATCTTCTTCAATAAAGTCACTAGGCAGAGAGTCATTGACAGTTTTAGCAGAAATTTACGTAGCAAAGTAAGGCAGAAGATTTGTTCCAGAGACAGTCAAGAGTAGGTTGTCCAAGAAAGGCAGAAGCAACACAACATGTTCTGTGTTGTGGATGTTTATGTTTATTTGTTTTGGATTTTTGAAACAGAATTTCTCTGTGTAGTCTTGAATGACCTAGAACTCATTCTGTAGAACAGGTTGACCTCCAACTCACAGAGATCTACCTCTCTCTTCCTCCTGAGTTCTGGGATTAAACATGTGAGCCACCACTGC